ATCATGGATCATTCATAATTACAATGGTTGAGAACCTTGAAATTAAAAGGCAAACAGGCAAGATAAGATCCTTAGATTGGAACTATATAACTTTACCATTATTTATCAGCTTGGTTATAAGCATTATAATGCCGATACTTTGTTGAGATTGACAAATAATCATCAAGAAGTTGAAGTAGAAGTATGTCAGATTGAAGTAGAATCTCAAAATATAGATCAATATGAACAGGTTTACCAAGAGGTGCTAAGGGTATTACAGCCTGACCCTTCTGTGCATATTACTGCAGACATTCGACCGTATCAGAATGTCAAATTTACTGAAGATTAGATTAAATTCGAAAACCAGAAGTGTACCTGGTATTATATCAAACATATTAGTAGTCGATTAGATCAAAAAACAAAAGGGAAGTATTTATCACATGACTAGAAAGGTCCTCTTGCACAATGTTGGTGTGGAGATCGATTGTATTCACTGGAGAATGATTGCGCCAAGTGTTATTGTGACTTAAGGCTATGAGTTACAATAAAAAAATATCCAATAGAAGAAATTATTAGGAGTTACTGGCCTACTCCAAATGAAGAGGATGACCCGATGAAAAAATCATTGGGGTCATATGATTTTGCAAAGTCATCCAAGACAAATAAGAAATCTAGTGCTAAAGAAAGGAATGAAATTTCTGTTAGAGTCAAGAATATAATTAAACAAGATGACTCAGAAAATCGTTTAATGAATGGGCCCTGGTGGTTGGATCTATTATATACACCAACACTTCGACAGTTAGATGAACATAACAACCTTAAAGACACCTACCTATGTAATTTAGTTTGGTGGAAGGTTGTTAACTCCGTTGTTACTTGTTAAAAAAAAATTTCTGTCAGAACCGTCCAATCAGTCACTGCAACCACATAACTAACTAGTAAAAAAAAAAAGAATTTTTTTTTTTAACCAACAAAACTATGCCTACCTATATATATATATTTTTTTTTCTACTATTATTTTTTTTTTATTTCATTTAATCATTTATCTATTTATCTATTTTATTTTATTTTATTTTATTTTTTTTTAAAAAAAAAAAAAAAAAAAAATAGATTCAATCAAATACGGATATATAAAAACCTTCTTAGAGACAGCCCGATATCTGTCACAGTATAATTCTCACCAAAAGAAATCATTAGAGTCACAAAGTAAATTCTTTGTTATCTGTAATCGATTGCTCTACAAAAGAGATCATCAAAAAAGCAGAAACCCCAGTTATTAAGATTAATAAAACAGGAAGAGCTGGCTCTACTTTTATATCTCATACATGATCATCTCTTGGGAGCTCATTTGGGGATAGAAAAAATGTTTGAAAGAATTCGTGATCGGTATTACTGGCCCCAAATATATGAACATGTTAGTAAATATGTAAAAACCTGTGATAAATGTCAAAAGTGTAAAAAATATAGAATTCATGGGCCATTACAACCTATACCCGTCAAGGCTCTATTTCATAAAATTGGTATTGACTTTGTAGGATCTTTGAAACAAACCTCAAAGATGAATTGTTATATTATTGTGGCCATGATTATATGACGAAATGGCCAGAAGCTCAAGCTGTGCTTACAGCTGATGCTCAACAAATAGCCCACTTTATTTTCCAAGAGATTATTTGTCACCACGGGTATCCTGCTTACATAATATTGAATAGGGGATGACATTTCAATAATGAAGTGCTGAAATTTTTGGCAAAAAATTTTGAAATAAAGCACTTGCTGACAACACCATATCATCCACAAACAAATGAGTTAGTAGAGAGATATAACCGTACCTTATGTGATCTCTGGCAAAATTAATTGATCAAGATTGAAAATGGGATATATTAATACTATTGGTGTTGTTTGCATATCAAATGTCTAAATAATTGATAACCAGGTTTACTCCATTCTACCTTACTTATGGATGTGAAGCTAAAATTTCAGATTTTCCTTATCAGCCCTATTAAAGGAAAATAAACTAGATCGAGTAAATGTATTAGTAAATAGTCTACCAATTGATTGAGCAATAGCCAAAGAAAATATTAGTAAATCTCAACAACGTCAAAAATTTAGATGGGATAAAAAATTAAAAAGAGTTGTACGCACCTTTAATATAGGAGATAAAGTTCTTTTATTCGACGCAGCTCAGCTTGGTCAGCACACTAGAAAATTTTTGCCAAAATGGCTAGGACCCTATATCATGCACACCTGTGTTGTGCAAGATGTCTATAAACTGCGCACATTAGAAAATCAGATTTTGGAGGCCCCACGGAATGTCTTTATACTAAAAAGATATCACAAAAGAACTTGAATAATATATATAATATCTGTAGAATAGTTCAAGTGATATTTGTTATGAAGAAGGAACTTATTCACAGGAGCTTACAATTTAGCAGGAGAGAAATTGTTATACTGAAATTTACACCATAACCTGACTCACGTGAAAGATGTTAATCTCGATCGATGCTTTACTAACTTATTTTGTTCCATATCGTTTGGGCATATTTTGTACTAAATTCATAGAAAATAATTAAGAGATAATTAGTTAAGTTTCAAGGAACGATAGTATTAAAATCAAAAGGAGTAAAACAGAAAGCTTATCAAATGGTCCCAACAGATATATATAGCCTGTTATTTCGCCTTGATGCAACATAGATTTGTTATTATTACATAAATTCTTCCTACTACATATACTTGAATTCTTCTATACTCTTATTGTTATATTTATCTTTATTAATAATAAAGCTCTCTGTGTCTTCATACATGTTAAATTAAAATCTATCCATTAAATTGATATAACGGTCTTGATCACATGACTATCATGAAGGAACTTCATAATCAATACTTACTATTTAAAACCCAAATACAAACATTATATCGTACAATTAACACCACAACTAATTGTATCCTCATATACACTTAGTTGCTGTCTCTTTTAAAGCCTTAATAAATATACATATAGTCGAATATCGGCTTTATTATTCTTTGCCAAGTTACAAAGTTTTAGTCTTCATACTACAACCTGCACATCCATTAAATTTCTATAAGATGTGAAATTTGGGTGTAACACCATTATGCAAAGAAATTTATTTTTAGAATTCCTGGTTTTTATTTATCGGCACCTATTTTATTTGCTTAATTATTAAGCATAAAGATTATTTATATTAGAGTCTAAGAGTTGTATAAGGAGATTCTTATAATGGAAAATTATTTGTTCAGCAAATTAGACTTTGCTTATTACAATCTGAAAATTATACCAGATCATAATGTTGTAAATTATTATAAGTTACGGTAAAACACCATACCCATTACAATTATAAAAAGTTTGTGTGGCCTTATATCTGTATCTTTATGTTAAACACATTTTTAAAACTTGCTTTTTAAAATCTTACAATCTATTTCCCATTCCTGATTTCACGCAACTGCATTGCGCAACTATCTAATTTTTGTATTATTGATTTTGATCAATCTGTATTACCTATAGCACAATAGAACAACGCTCGTAAAATCAAATATATTTGATTTCTCTCATTTACTCTTTATTATACAATATCTATAATCTATTTAGGGCAAACAAGTAATCGTATATTTCATGGTTTTGAAAATGTTGTATGTAAATTGATTTTTTAGTTATTCAATTTTTTGTCAGATGATTTGCTTCCCAAATTATTTTAGCTTAATGCTAAACAATGAATTATTTGAAAATAGTAATTGATTGTATTGTTATTTTTGAATCATGTTATGTTAATTCTCTAAATAATATGTGGTCTTGTCTGCAAACATTTAGCCTTGAACTGGTTAAATAATGAATTTAAGCCCCTATTAATAACCAGATTGTTCTTTAGCAGTTTTATCCAAATTCAACCCTTTACTGGTGTAAAAAAAATTCATCTGAAAAACATTTGTTAATTTTGATTTATATCTTACTGATACTAAAAAATTATTTGAGTTTTATATAATAAATAATTATTACTAAAAATAACAAATAATTATTTAATTTTTTCTCTTATATAGCAATTTGAATTAATAATAAACTATACCTTTCTTTATCATATTAAACATTCAAATCTAACTACTATCAATTTCTTCTGTTCCTAGTTTTGTGCGATGATATTACATAGCTATCTAGTATCGATATATATGTAATACTCCTATACCAGGAATATAGTAAAACGAAGTAGATGATTCAATTCGAGTTTGGCGTTTATACACAAAATCTTGATTCTGATTAGACATTCTATAAGATGATCTGCACTTAGTTAAGTAATATATATATTCATAAAATCCTGCTCAGAATACTGCTTTCTCAGTAAAAAAACTCTCTTGTGATCATTCTGAGTTTATCCAATCTTTGGCTTAGAAAATTGGCTACATTTTTAATAATCATTCGATCAAAAATCACATTTGCGATTATAGTATAGCAGTTTGTAAAAAAGGTGTGATTCTTAATAATTAAAATATAAAGATAAATGCTTGTTTGTAAAATCAAATTTTATTCTGAACAAATTTATATTATTTTTTCTAGAGAGTATTATTTTGACTCTTGTAGAATAATGATAATACTATTATAGAACAAAAACCAAGACCCAATTAAGAAATAACAAAATATTAGATAATTGAATAAGATAATATATACTATAGATAGGTGATGAAATTATTTTTGCAATGACGAAATTGACGAAATTATAAGTGATGAAATTATTTTCATAGTGATGAAATTGACGAATTACTTATTTTATCAAATTTTGTCAATTTTGTCACCTATCACTAATATGCACTGAATATTTTAAGAACTATATTATTATATTGACAATTATTATTCTACCTGTAATTATTATTTAAACATGACCTTTATTGCTGACTAAATGTTATAATAATTACATTTCAGAAGACTAGAAATTTTGTGAATAAGCTAAGTTTTGTAGTGTTGTTTATTTTTTAATCATTTAACCATTTTCTTTTTCTTTCTTAATTACTCTAGTATTTTATTTTCTCTTTTTAGGTTGTGCTTCATCATTTTGTTCTTCATTTTTCTCTATTGAATTTGTATATTCATCAGATAGTAAAATCTTTTCTTCTTTGTTTTTAGATTGTTCTTTTTCACTGTCTTTCTCATTGTATAAAGTTCTAATATTCATTTTTTCAAAAGTTAAATTCATATTTGTATTGTAAATAGTAAAAACATACAAGGTCTTAGATAAAATAAATGTAACAGGACTAAATAAGAACATTTTGTTTTAATCTGGCCAGTGGCCAGATTAATGTTACCTGCTATGCGTTGTCGACAGTATACATATAACATACACATACGCTTCCGACAACGCTTACTCTTATTGGCTAAAACTTTAATAGTATAATGTGTTACACTGGTAATCTTTAATTTAATGATGGGAGATCCGAAAAAAACCCAGCAATTTTTAATTAGTGTAAACCGAGGTTTACACTAATTAATTTTGTCGATCATTGATGGTGGGAGAAAAGTGAGTTTTCCGAAACTATTAATTTATTAGTAAATTTTTTTGGAGTATCCGGCGGGAGTTTGTAATACCCGGCAGGGAGATTTTTAATTAGTAAATTAATTAATAAAATAATGATAGGAGATCCGAAGAATTTTCGAAAATGATAACCGGTTTAACCAGTTTGCCAAAGAAAAAACGAAAATATTTAATTTTTAAGAGAAATTTACGCAAAAAGTACGTTAAGAAATCACCTTTACGATTCTAGCAAGAAACGTTGAATATATCTCAGACTATTAGATTATGAAGTTTCACATTTATTGAATTAAAACTTGTAGAGATATTTCCGATTTTTGGATTTTTCTTCGGTTACGTTTTTTATAATAATGAAAACGAAAATACCCAATTTTCAAGAGAAATTTACGCAAAAAGTACGTTAAGAAATCACCTTTACGATTCTAACAAGACATAAAGAGCACATCTTGAACTAATAGAATCTTAAATTTCATGTATATATTTTTGAAATTCAACGAGTTATAACGTTTTTAGTAAATAATAAAGATTTACAAATTTTTGTTTTTAGATAGCTAAACTTTGAACGATTGTGGAGATGTTTTTTCATTATCTAGCGTATCTTGACGATTAATAGACTTTTGTAGAGGGAATATTCATCTATTAGTATGTGAATTTTCAGAATATTTGGTCAAGTCTTCGTCGAGATATTAACGATTTACGTTTTGTTTTCATAGACGAATAATCGTTTTTTGATGAAAGTATCATGGTACCCCGGGCGGAAAAATTATTTTGATTCTAAACGTATTACTGCGCATTAATTACGTTTATAGAACATATCTCAAATTTATACTATGTGAATTTTCATAAGTTTTGAATAAATATTCGTCTAGTTATGATAGTTTTTCGTTTAAAAACTACTGACGAATTTTTTATTTTGATATTTACAGGAACGTTTTCATTAATTTGACCATATCATTAAAAGAAAACATTATGTGCAATGATAATAAAGTTAGTTTAGATGACTTTCAAGAATTCATATATTAAATTTCAAGTAAAACGAATGGATATTCATGAAATTAGCTCAATTTTTGATGAAATGATTTTTAAGTTTTCTTTGCAGATCATTTTTTTTAAAATCGCCGTCACATGAGTTTTTACGTTTTGCACAAAATTTTATTATGTTAATCGATTTTGTATCAATAATAAAAAATGCAGAACTCATTAAAAAACATGTAGTTTCATAGTATGATTTTATTCATTTTATTAATAAAATTTTTCATAAATTACATTTTAAAACTTTCGAATTTTTTCGACTATTAAAAAAATTTATTTTATTTTTTTTTTAGTGATATGTATTAGCCTTACGAAATCGTAAGTTACCGAATCTCGCTGCTTGGAAGCTACATATCATGAGATTCTGGTGAGGGACATATTCGTGAGCACCAACCCGTACCAAAACAATCCTCACCTATGTGAAAATAAAGACAATAGCCTTTAAAGGTGTTCTAAGAAGAATAGGCCAATTATGTTAAGGGGTAGGCGCCTATTGATCTTTATGCACTGGCCGAGAATAACAAAAAAAACTTTTGTTTGCTCTTTACTAGGGAAATTAATTCCCAAGGCCGTCTTCAGCTATATGTGGTCTTATTTTTTCACACAGAATCCAGAATTGTTCTGTATGCAATATGCCCTGTTATGAGGTGTAAAAGAAAACACCTAAATAAACGATCATCAAAACAATGATCAACGTATTTAATCACATGATTATTACATTATGTTTCGCGAATTATTTATACTAATAGTTTAATTTAATTATTAGCACATTTATTAAAACAAAACTGTGTAAATATAGTATTTATATATTTGGTATTTCTTTATAAAGTAATTCCTATTTAATTCCTTTTTACGAATGAATTATTTTTTTTATATAAGTATTTTATAACAAAAAAGGAATTACTAAATATGTAAATACTAAATTAAATTATTATTTTGTTATTTCGTTTGTAATTTTTAATGTTAGAAAATTTCAGTATATAAAATTTATTGTAAAATTTTGGAGTTTGGTTGAGATTTTTTTGTTTTTTACAAGTTAAAGTATTGTTTATAAAAAATATTCTAATATTTTATTATATTATAAAAAGTATATAAAGTGTTAAAATATCCTCCCAGAGCATTAAAAAATAAAAAAAAATGGGAGTATATGAATTTTCTCATAATCAAGCTACTACATATTACTGTATTCCTTGTAAAGAAAAATTTAAATGCAAAAAAACACTATCTAAAGAAGATAAAAAAAAACGTGAAGAAGAATACAAAAAAAATGGAGTTCTAATTTGTAATTTATGTCAAGAAAAACATTGGTGTTGTTCTAATAATAAATGTACAAATTGTTGTAATTTAAACAAATGTAATGATATTGTATGTTATCATTGTAAAGAAAAAAATATTGAATGTAAACGTGTTTTACCAAAAACACAAAAAGAATATGAAAAGATTAAAGATAAAGTTTCTTATATTGTTTGGAAATTTGAACCAACCAATGAAGAAAAGTTACATGCTCAAGTTTATATACAATTTCAACCGAAACAATGACAAACTATTAAAAGTGCTAGAGAAATATTTAAAGAAGATAAATCATTGATATTTCAAGAGAAATTAGG